GGCTTTGGAGCATTTTAGGAGGAAAGTATTACACACACACACACACACACACACACACACACACGCACACACTGTATATTCATAATTCCTTTGGTGGTGTGGCATGGCTTCAGGGCCTGTAGAATTGAGGCGCTATTTTGGCTTGGCAAAATCATCTTGGGCTCACTTTATCGTAGAGAGAAGCTTCTCCGTTTGCCTCTTTCAGGGTTTGGATGCCCTTTTCTCTTAAATAACCCCTGTGGAAAAGCCATAAGTGCCAGTGGCAGTGTTATCCGTGGCCCCACTGTCTTTTTTTGTCTACCCGGAAGGCTCCTTGATATCGTAGGATACCCTTAAATTTAAAAAAAAAAAAAAGATAAGTATTTTGCAAAAATGTTATTTTCTTTTCCGCAAAGTTGTTTTGGCAACTGCACAATTTTCCCCCTCACATGGAGAGAGAGAGAGAGGGCCAGTATTCTCGACCTGCAGGATGGCCAAACGTGGGGGCGAGAGGATTTTCTTTTCTTTTTGGTTCTAGCTTTTCCTTCCTGGCCCCCTTTGCAGGGTCTGTGGTCCCCACCTAACAACCATTCTTGCCATAGTTGTTAAGGAAATCACTGCCGTTGTTCAGTTGGGGACTCGGTTGTTAAATGACTCTGGCTCCCCACTTGAGATTGCTTCTCAGAAGGTCACAGAAGAGGATCACGTAACCCCAGGACACGGCGACCGTCATAAATGTGAGTCAGTTGCCAAACGTCTGGTTTTTGATCGCAGGATCATGGGGGATGCTACAAAGGTCACAACTGTGAAAAATGGTCCTAAGTCCCTTTCTTCAGTGCCGTTGTAATTTTTGAACGGTCCTAAACGAACTGTTGTAAGTCGAGGTCTACCTGTATAACTTTACTGATTGTCAGGTTGTGAGTAGAAGTGCGTTACGAGTCAGCCTTGACAATAATCGAATAATAGAGTTGGAAGGGACCTTGGAGGTCTTCTAGTCCAACCCCCTGATCAAGCAGGGGACTCTTTCAGACAAATGGCTGTCTAATCTCTTCTTAAAAACTTCCAGTGTTGGAGCACCCACAATTTCTAGAGGCAAGCTGTTCCACTAATTAATTGTTCTTACTATCAGGAAATTCCTCCTTAGTTCCAGGTTGCTTCTCTCCTTGATGAGTTTCCATCCATTGCTTCTCATCCTGCTTTCAGGTGCTTTGAAAAATAGCTTGTACCCCTTCAAATCCTGGGACCCTCTTATCATGTCCCCTCTTGGTCCTTCTTTTCATTAGACTAGACATACCCAATTCCAGCAACCGTTCTTCGCATGTTTTATCCTCCGGTCCCCTAACCAGAGGGGGTATTGAGCAGGTTCTGGCCAGTTCTGGAGAACCGGTAGCGGAAATTTTGAGTCGTTCAGAGAACCGGCCAATCCCACCTCTGACTGACCCCGCCCCCATCTCTTCTCTGCCTCCCATTGAGTCCCAGCTGATTGGCTGGGTCTTCTTTGGTTGCCCTGCACAGGAGAACGGAGCTGGAAAGCAGGTTAGTGGGGTGGGGAGGGAATGGGGATTTTGCAGTATCCTTCCCCTGCCATGCCCACCAAGCCATGCCCACAGAACCAGTAGTAAAAAAGGTTTGAATCCCACCACTGTCCCTAATCACCTTTGTTGCTCTTCTCTGCACTTTTTCCAGATAATATCCAAAGTGGTATCTTTCACGATAACCAATGCATTTCATTGTGTGAGTCAAGACAGGCACCGAATCCATCAGAAAATGTGGCTTCGGTGAAGTGAGTCTTTAAGGCTTCCTCATCCCCTCGCTATTTTCCGAGTGGCACATTTTCCAAATCAGGTTATAGCTTCCCAGATTTGAACCTCTAAGAAACCTTCATATATTTTTTTCAGACGGTTGGCTGGGAACGATCTGCACGTTTTCATGCAATTTCATTCAGGGGGGAAAAAAAAAGAAAAAAGTTCAAAGTCCTTCCTCCTGTGGGAAGAGGGGAATCTCCCCTCTCCTTTAATTTCAGACCACATCCAAAACTTTGGGGAGAGATCTGTTGTTTTTGCTGGTGATTATTTACCTCTCATTTTTCGTGTTTTCTCGGGATGAAAAAATGAGCAAGAAGCTAAGACGTCCTGTAAAAACCAGTATCCAGAGCCAAATTCAGTTGAAAAAAATGACAGCAGGCTCCTGTGGGTTTTTTTTTTGTTGTTTTTTTTTTGTGGCAATTTGTGTTGCTGCAACAACCATGTGCTTTATCGAGCTGGGCCCTTGATTGAGCTAAAGAACATTTTAAAGCCCTTCTAAAGTTATTGGGTTGCTGGATTCGGTATTAAAACTCCCCGCAAACCTGGCTTTGTGTTAATAAAACTTTTGACCCCAAAGTTGAAACCTTAACTTTTGACCCCCTTCTGCTCTTAATTAACAACAACAAAAAAATCCTTGTTCCTCCTACCCCAATATTTTCTACACAGGAGGAAGGGAAGGTTTCCTATGGAGTACAGGTAGTCCTCGACTTATGGCCCACAATTGAGCACAAAACATGTTGCTAAGTGAACCATTTGTTAAGTGAGTTTTGCCCCATTTGATGACTTTTCTTGCCACTGTTGTTAAGTGAATCACTGCAGATGTTTAGTTAGTAACATGATTGTTAAGTGAATCTAGCCCATTGACTTTGCTTGTCAGAAGGTCACAAAAGGGGACCCACAGGACCCCAGAACACGGCAATCGTCATAAATATGAGTCACATTTCAAGCGCCTGAATTTTGATCCAGTGACCATAATGGGGATGCTATAATGGTTGTAAGTGTGGAAAAATGGTCCTAAGTCCCCTTTTTCAGTGCCGTTGTAACTTTGAACTGTTGTAAGTCGAGGACTCCCTGTATCGATGCTTTATGCCTGCAACTCCATTTTGAGTTTTGAAACTTCAGCAGCCGTTGTTGGCTCCATATCTCCAAGGATAACTTTTGCAAGAACTCTTCCATCCTTTTTATATACAGATAGTCTGTCAGGATTCCGACCGATGCCCTAATTAATTAATGAGCCTCCAGCCAAGTTTCAAAAGAAATCCAATTATTTATTAGGAGCAACATGTTGGCACTTTCCCAAATGCAGTCGTCTCTGCCCCATGTAATTTACTGCCCACCTATGACCCTGTTTCACCACTCCTTCCAGGGTGTGTCATAAATCACAATGGGATGTGGTACAAAGGGATGTGGTACAAAGGCAACACAGTCACATCAGTAAGAAAAGTCCCTTTAATACCTCCAACTTTGCCCCCAATGTCCAGTTACCTTCGGCTGGAGAAAAAACCTCTCCCAAAAACAGTTTTTAAGTGGAGGAAATTCAGTCTGAAAACAAAGTACATATAAACTGTAAATAAAAATCCACACAAACCAGGCTGCAGTAATTAACTGGATAGGGCAGGAGAAGGAATTGCAGACTTCAAAGGCCAACAAAACACACATAGTCGGGAAGACGCCAGGAACTCAGATAAGCCTCGACAATAACAGATAACTCACGATTTGCTTCCCATGAGTTGCTGTGTGCAAGCTCCCTTTTTAAACACTGTGTTTCCAGCTGCGGCTAATGAAGGGAATCAGGGCCCTTTCCTCCCCCGTAAGCCACACAACTCACATTGCTCCCTTCTCTGTTCCTTCATAGCATGAATAGGGGGTGGCCCTGAGTCTTCCTCTGAATTTCCTCTGCCTTGCTCTACCTCTCCCCTGCTCTGCCCAGCCGGACTTTGCTCTTCCCCAGTTTCTTCCACAGCCAACGGAGCCATACCCCCACTCCCTGTCAGCTGCTCAGCCTCCCCCTCCAAATCACATTCCGACAAAGACATGACACACATTCTCCAGCGGTACACTTTTGTGGGCTGTAGAAAACATGTCTCTCCAGCTGGCTCTAGTACCTGGGATACAATCTGGAGAAAGATAAGTGTGGAATGTGATTCTAGTCATAGCAGCCCGAGCTGCTCCATCAGTTCTCCCACCCTCCTGCCTATGGCAACTCGAGAGCAGGCCAGGAATACTTTATGAATTGACACAGTCCTTGACTTACAACCATTCCTTTGGTGACCGTTCAGAGTTACAGCAGTACTGAAAAAAGTGACTTCTGACCGGTTTTCACACCGACGACCGTTGCCGCATCCCCATGGTCACGTGATCCAACTCTAGACCTTCTGACCAGCAAAGCCAATGGGGAAGCCAGATCCGCTTAACAACCAGGGATACTAACGTAACAACTGTAGTGATTCACTTAAGAGGGGCAAGAAAGGTCGTAAAATGGGGGCAAAAGTCACTTAAAAGTCTTGCGGAACCATGGAAATTTGGGGCACAATTGTGGTGATCCCCACCTGATCAAAATTCAAGAGCTTAGCCATCAGCATGTATTTAAAATTTGCAGCTTTCCCAGCCGGCTTTCAACCAGCAAAGCCAATGGGGGAAGCCAGATTCTCTTAACGACTGTGTGATTCATTTAACAACTGTAGCGATTCACCTAGCAAACGTGGCACAAAAAGATCATAAAATTCAGCATGGCCCACTTCACAACCTCCATGCTTAGCAACAGAAATGCTGGTCCCAATTGGGGTTGAGGACTCCTTGTAACTTACACAGACTTTTTGTGAGAAACAAGTTAGCATGGAGTAGGTGACGTGGAGTAGATTCTAGCATGGATGATGTTATCTAGTCGGGTAATGAAACGCCTGCAAGAAAACAACCAAGCTCAGAGAGCACCAAGGACCCCACAGTC